GAGAGGGAGAGAGGGAGGGAAGAAGAGAGAGAGAGAGAGAGAGAGAGAGAGAAAGAAAGAAGAGGTCATGAATGTGAGAGGGAGTGGAGAAGGACACAGAACAAGTTGGGGGAAGATAGCCCCCTTTTGGGGCACTTTTGTGTTCATTCTGTCAACACACAGGAAGCTCACTTATTTTACTGTTATACCTTAAGTATCAATGCAAATTGGCTTTTGGAATCTAATTGTTTATCTTTTTCAGGGATTGTGCAATTGATCCAACATGTGTTCTCTGTATGGACTGCTTCCAGAGTAGTGTTCATAAAAACCATCGTTACAAGGTATGAAAATACATACATACATACATACATACATACATACATATGTGTGTGTGTGTGTGTATATATATATATATATATATATATGTATATATTCACTTATATAGTAGGAAGGAATCTGATGATCTAGTCCAAATTTTGAGCAGTTTTATTTCTCTGCTGAGTAGGTCTGATGTGTAGTTAAATCTGCCCAATGACAAGACATCTGCTACTTCAAGAAGGATCTCCTTACAATATTGTGTTGTGACATTGACAAGACAGTATAAAGCATGTGAATCACTTAAAGAATAAATAAAAACCAGACAGTGGTGGCACATGCCTTTGATCCCAGAACGGGAGGCAGAAGCAGGTGGATCTCTGTGAGTTTGAGTCCAGCCTGTTCTACAAAGTAAGTTCAAAGTAAGTTCCAGGACAGCCAGGGCTACACAGCGAAACCCTGCCTCAAAAAAACCAAAAATAGATAGATAGGTAAAAACCAAAAACCTGTGTAACTACTGCCAAGTCAAGGAAATGGACAAGGCAGGTTTCAGGAGCTCCATTGTTTGTCCCTTCAGGATCTTAGTCACTTTATCCTCCCTTGAACACTCTTGACTCTTTTATTGTAATTTGTAATGGTGTCCTTGATTTTTTTTTTTTCTCCCTTCAGCTTATCCCTTACATTATAGTGAAAAGTTTTATCTGTTGTGAACTTAAAATAGATGTATTCATATTATATACAGTTGTGGTTGAATGACCTTATGTATGTAACTGTAGTTTGTTGGACTCTAATAAGCTATGTGTCTTTATTCACTGCACTGCAGATAGATATGTAGATTGTTCCAAGTTGGTACTGTTAATAACCCTGCTGTGAAATGTTGGTACACATATGGGATTTCTCTAGTTTGTATATATAGAAAAGAATTGTTGAGTTCTAGTGCATCTAGGTCTTTGATCATACTTGTATAATGTATAAAGTGGGGGGGGAGGGGGGTTTCCGAGGCAGGGTTTCTCTGTGGCTTTGGAGGCTGGCCTGGCCTAAATCTATCAATTTTGTAGAAATAATCCAAGTTCATCAATAGATACATAGATAATCAAAATGTGCTGTATATTAGAATATTATTCAAACTTGAAAAAGAAGGAAATTCTGGTATATGCTACATTTAAACTTTGAGAGCCAGTCATAAAAGACAAACCCTGCTTGATTGCATTAATATGAGGCACTTAGAGAAGTCACATTCACATAGACAGAAAGTAGGATAATGGCTACCAGGGGAAAAAGCAAGGAATGGACAGCTTCTGTTTTACAAAGTGAAATGAATTACAGAGATGGATATAATAGGTACACGGTATGAGTTTAAAATACTTAATGCCATGAATCTATACACACACTTAAAAATGGTTCAGATAGTAAACTTTATATGCATTTTACAACAATAATAGAAATTGAGGGACATATCTTTCAAAATTAAAAACACAGATCCTTTAATCTCAAACAATCTACCTCTATCAAATCTCAAGCATGCTTTAATATATTAAATTTTTTCATATAAAAACAAAAGCTTGGGCTGAAGAGATGGCTCACAAAGCAAAGGTGAGCCAAGCTTGCTGCCAAACCTGATGACCTGAGTTTGATCTCTTAGACCCACATGTGGGCGAATAGAACTGAGTGCACATGAATACATACACATAAGTAAATAAGTAAATAAACAGAATTTTTTTTGTTTTTTTGTTTTGTTTTTTAGATTTTATTTATTATGTATACAACATTCTGCTTCCTTGTATATCTGCACATCAGAAGAGGGCATTAGATCTCATTACAGATGGTTGTGAGCCACCATGTGGTTGCTGGGAATTGAACTCAGGACCTCTGGAAGAGCAGTCATCTCTCCAGCCCCTAGAAAAATTTTTTAAGAAAATAAAAAAGGTATGAAACAGAGAGGTGGTTCTAGCACTTGGGAAGCTGAAGCAGGAGGATTGCCACGATTTCAAGATCAGCCTGAGTACATAGTCAATTCCAGATTATCCTGGACTATAGTGTAAACAGTCTGTTTTAGAAACAGGGGAGGGAGGCTGGAATATAGTTCAGTGATGGAGTACATGCCAAGGCCCTGGGTTCTATTCTCAGCATCATATATTATGTTTGTCTATAATAGTGGTTCTCAACTTCCCTAATGTTGAGACCCTTTAAATACAGTTCCTCATGTTGTGGTGACTCCCCTCCCCAATAACATTATTTCATTGCTACTTCATAATTGTAATTTTGCTACTGTTAGAATTGTACTGTAAATATCTGTTATTTTCTGACAGCCTTAGTTGATCCCCAAAAGGAGTTGTAACCCACAGGTTGAAAACCATTGGTCTAAAGCAACACAGTATTGAACATGAAAATGTAAGAACAGAGGACAGGGAAAACCTTCAGTGGCAAAAGAGTCCAAAACAATACTTAAGGAAATAAACAAAATTAGAGCCTTGTTTCACAGCATATTTTTGCTACTCACTTTGTTCTTTCAGAGGTGGCTAACTTATTCGATTTGATAAGTTAAATTCTAAGAGCCAAAGATCAGAATAGAATGAAAGTTGTGGCCACATTCATTTTTGAGTTTTCTGGTGTCTTAGAAGGTGATACCAAGAATCAGGCCTGCTTGAGTTGACACATCTCAAAGCCAATTGGAACATACCCAGAGGTGAAAACAAATCCCCCGGGGCTGGAGAGATGGATCAGAGGTTAAGAGCACTGACTGCTCTTCCACAGGTCCTGAGTTCAATTCCCAGCAACCACATGGTGGCTCACAGCCATCCATTATGAGATCTGGTGCCCTCTTCTGGTGTGCAGATATACATGGAAGCAGAATGTTATATACATAATAAATAAATAAAATCTAAAAAAAGAAAAAAGAAAAAAGAAAACAAATCCACCCATAATCTCCTTTTCTCTGTCCCTTTCTATTTATGTCTCCATCTGATTTGTGTGTCCTGTATCCCCACTTGACTATAAACTTTTTGTAGATGAAGTTCAGATCTTGCGTATTTTGTACCTTCTATGTCTCTCATAGTACTTAGGACATAGAAACTTTTTTTTTTTTAATTTTATTTATGTATTTTTGTTTTTTTGAGATAAGGTTTCTCTGTGGCTTTGGAGGCTGTCCTGGAACTAGCTCTTGTAGACTAGGCCAGTCTCAAACTCAGAGATCCGCCTGCCTCTGCCTCCTGAGTGCTGGCATTAAAGGTGTGCACCACCATCACCTGGCTTGAGTTCTTTATATCAGCCCTTTGTTAGATATGGGGTTGGTGAAGATCTTTTCCCATTCTGTAGGCTACTATTTTGCCTTATTGACCGTGTCCTTTGCCTTACAGAAGATTTTCAGTTTCAGGAGGTCCTCTTTATTGTTGATCTCAGTGTCTGTGCTATTGGTGTTGTATTTAGGAAGTGGTCTCCTGTGCCCATGTGTTCAAGGTTACTTCCCACTTTCTCTTCTAGCAGGTTCAGTGTACCTGGATTGATGTTGAAGTCTTTGAGTCACTTGGACTTGAGTTTTGTGCAGGGTGCTGACATCCACTTATGCCAACACCATTGTTGGAGATGCTTTCTTTTTTCCATTGTATAATTTTGGCTTCTTTGTCAAAAATCAGGTGTTCATAGGTGTATGGATTAATATCAGGGTCTTTGATTTGATTCCACTGGTCTACCTGTCTGTTTTTGTGCCAATACCAAGCTGTTTTCATTACTATAGCTCTCTAGTAGAGCTTGAAGTCAGAGATGGTGATACCTCTAGAAGTTCCTTTTTTGTACAGGATTGTTTTGGCTATCTTGGGTTTTTTGTTTTCCATATGAAGTTGAATATTGTTTTTCAAAGTCTGAAGAATTGTGTGGGGATTGCATTGAATCTGTAGATTGCTTTTGGTAAGATTGCCATTTTTACTTTGTTAATCCTATCTATCCATGAACACGGGGGGATCTTTCCATTTTCTGATACCTTCTTCAATTTCTTTCTTCAAAGACTTAAATAAAGGTCTTGACATACAGATCTTTCATTTGTTTGGTTAGAGTTACCCCAAGGTATTTTATATTATTTGTGGCTATTGTAAAGGATATTGTTTCTCTGATTTCTTCCTCAGCATGTTTATCATTTGTATGTAGGAGGGTGAATTTTATATAGATATAAGTTTTTATCTCTCACTGGCAAGAGGATTTTGGATAGCTAAAGATTTTTTGTCTTTTTTTTTGTTGTTGTTGATGTTGTTGTTGTTTCTCTGTATAGCCTTGGCATCCTGGAACTTGCTCTGTAGAACAGGCTGGTACATTTTTCTGTCTTTTAAACGTGATTCATGCTGTCATTTATTTTATTAACTTTTTAAAAACTTATTCTTGATTTTATTTTTTGAGACAAGGTCTCACTATATGTCCTTAGTTGGCCTGGAACTTATTATGGAAACCATTCTGGCCTCAGAGATCCACCTGCCTCCTGAGTGCTGGGATTAAAGGTGTATAGCCATTATGCCTGGCAGATCTACTAAATTTTTGTTCCTAGATTTTGTGCTTTTGTTGTATTATCTATTTTACTTATATTTGCTTTTATATAAAAACACATTTTTTAAAAAAAATACATATTTTGATACCCTTATGAAATCTCACATGTGTCTTATTTCTTGCTACTTTATTCCCCCATTGGTTGCTTCATTATTAAGGCCTCTACCTTACTTTTCTCTTCCTTGGCCTTTTATCTAGGCTCAAGTGTTTTGGTTTGTTTGTTTCTCAAAAGGCCTCCCAGATAAATGAAGCTCATTCTGTTACAGGGTCAGTAAACTGAAGTTTGAGTAAAACCTGGCTTACAGTATTTGTGTGGATTGCTAGCTAAGAAAGGCTTTTGTGATTGTAGCTGCTGAGAGTGTGGCTAATGGGTGGTCTGTGCTTCCTTATGGAATGTTTGAAGAGCAAGTTCTAAGAAAAAGTCTAGATCACATTGTTATCATTATCCTTTACCTGAGTTAGTATATTTTAGTCCCTAAGAAAGCTGAAAGGGAAAAGATTATAGTTGCTGTAGAAAATTAATATAAATGAAGATACTATATTAAATATTTCTTAATTTCTATGTATCATATTGATTCTACCTATCTATCTATCTATCTATCTATCTATCTATCTATCTATCTATCGGTTCTTTTGAGACAGGGTTTCTCTGTGGCTTTGGAGCCTGTCCTGGAACTCACTCTGTACACCAGGCTGGCTTCGAAATCACAGAGATCTGCCTGCCTCTGCTTCCTGAGTGCAGGGATTAAAGGTGTGCACTACCACCACCCAGCCATTATATTAATTTTTAAAGGTCTATGTAATAAAAAAGAAAATTCATACTCCAGCATTCTAGATTCTGAAGACTTTTCTTTTACTTTCATTCTCCATTAGTTTACACTTAATAAAAAAATTATTTTTAAAATGTGGAGTTATATTTCAAAAGCTTATCCATTTAGAAGGTCCATTATTGCTATTCTGAAATATTCAGGTAGTTGGTATTTCTCAGGTAACTTACTAAAATGATTCTGTTACATTAAATACAACTAAAATTGAAGTGTTAGTATATATTTTCTATTTGAGTCAAACGTCTTTTCATTGCTTTGTAGTAAAATTTGGCACCTTGAAAAAAATCATTTTTCATTTTTTTAGATGCATACTTCTACTGGAGGAGGGTTCTGTGACTGTGGAGACACAGAAGCATGGAAAACTGGCCCCTTTTGTATGGATCATGAACCTGGAAGAGCAGGTACTACAAAAGAGGTAAGAAGCTTAACTGCTGTTTTACTTTTTCTGAAATTTGATGAGAATAAATGCTATTAATATATGGGTTAAGATGGATTCCATTTAGAATCCAATGTTTTTCTTCTAAAAGTTAATTATAAGAATGTTTTGTTTTTCTACTCTAAATTAAACATTTCTCTGGAGGGAATGGATTTACACATACCCAAAATGAATTCAAAATACTTTTTGTTAAATTGTCAACTTGAACAACAAGGATATATAATGTATGGCCCCCAAAGAACAAAAAGAAGTTGTTAAAGATAAGAACAGAATGTAATGAGTTGAAAACATAATACTTCTTTTTTTTTTTTAATTTCTTTTTTTTTCCGGGGGTGGGAGGTTAGTTTTTTAGACAGGGTTTCTCTGTGGTTTTGGAGGCTGTCCTAGAACTAGCTCTTGTAGACCAGGCTTTTCTTAAAGGAAAAGTAATTAGTGACAAATAGACTCAGTGGATAAATCTTAGTCAAGAAAGAAACCTGAGCAAGTCCAGATACAGATACTACACTATGAAGTGGGAGGGAACTATAGGACGATAGATACAGATGAGCTATGGGACCATAGACTATAGGAGTAAAGATACAGATGAGCTATGGGACCATAGAGTATATGTGTATAGATACAGATGAGCTATGGGACCATAGAGTATATGTGTATAGATACAGATGAGCTATGGGACCATAGAGTATATGTGTATAGATACAGATGAGCTATGGGACCATAGAGTATATGTGTATAGATACAGATGAGCTATGGGACCATAGAGTATATGTGTATAGATACAGATGAGCTATGGGACCATAGAGTATATGTGTATAGATACAGATGAGCTATGGGACCATAGAGTATATGTGTATAGATACAGATGAGCTATGGGACCATAGAGTATATGTGTATAGATACAGATGAGCTATGGGACCATAGAGTATATGTGTATAGATACAGATGAGCTATGGGACCATAGAGTATATGTGTATAGATACAGATGAGCTATGGGACCATAGAGTATATGTGTATAGATACAGATGAGCTATGGGACCATAGAGTATATGTGTATAGATACAGATGAGCTATGGGACCATAGAGTATATGTGTATAGATACAGATGAGCTATGGGACCATAGAGTATATGTGTATAGATACAGATGAGCTATGGGACCATAGACTATAGGACTATAGATACAGATGAGCTATGGGAGCCGCAAATGACTGCTGAGGGATTCTCAGCTAATGTGCCTAAAAAGGAATTGTTGTTTTAGTTTTGTTTTGTTTTTGAGATAGAGTCTGTCTACATCATCCTGGCTGTCCTGGATTTGTAGATTAAGCTGACCTCAAACTCACAGAGATCCTCCTGCCTCTGCCTCCCAGTACTAGGAACACTACAGTCTGCTATAAAAATGAATTGTTTTATCAGACAGTGAGAAGTACCATTCAAAAGCTCAGGGAATGTTTGGTAGGTAACATTGAAATACTTGGCAAAATTGCCACAGTGTAGCATTTCTCCCCCAAACACCATGTTCAAAAGGTTTCATAGACAAATCTTTGAAAGTTTCAAGGGTTTTTGCACTTTGAACTATTTTAGATCTCCATATAAGCAGTGAACACATCTTAGGGCCAAATGATGTTCTTTGTTGAGTTTTTGTTTAAAGACCTCCCTAGGTATTAGAGTTGGGTGTTGAAGTCTTCTACTGTTATTGTGGATGGGCCTATGTGGCCTGCTAAGCCTTTTAACATTTGTTTTATCAAATTGCTGGCCCCAAGATTTGATACATAAATATTTACAATAGCTATATTCTCTTGATTGTTCCTTTTATTAGTATGTAGGGATTCTGTCTCAGACTGATGTCTTGGGGGTTTCAGTCGGAATCAGCCGAACAGCCCTGGGTCCACTCCTGAGTGGGGAGTGTGGATGAGGGAAGGCTAGCTATCCAACGGAGTTAAAGAAAAGACAGAGACATCTGACCATAACAGGAGGGCAGTCAGTTGATACTGAAAGCACCCAATTTTAATCCATCATCTTAAGTAACCATCCAAAGGTGGGGGCAATTGTTGAAGATATATATGATTATATATATATAAAATCATGTATAAAGGGCAGATAGCAATTACTTCCCTTAACCCCAAAGGCACTCCTTTGCTGCATGTACTAAGGCCTTCAGGCACTCCATACCAGCCTTCAGGCACTCCATACCAGCATGTCATACTAGCCTTCAGGGTGCATGTAGAACTTGCCCTGGCCCAAGTCTATTGTTATTGAGATAGGAACCATTTTCCACCAAGGCCAGGACACCCTGCAGCTATTAGCTGACATCTTAAAGACAAAAGAAATTGAGGCTCTCCAGAACTGGTGGCAGGGTGGAATAGATTTCCAACTATGTGGCCCCTGACAGGATTCCCTTCATCTCTTCTGACTTTGATTTGAAGTCTATTAGATGCAGGAGTTACGTGAATTTCTTGCTGATAGCTGATAGTTGGATCTTGTGTTTTAGTTCAACTTAGTCTATAAATTAAAAGGCCAAGCCAGAGGCTGGAGAGATTGGCTCAGAGGTTAAGAGCACTGACTGCTCTTCCAGAGGTCCTGAGTTCAATTCCCAGCAGCCACATGATGGCTCACAGCCATCTCTATAATGAGATCTGGTGCCCTCTTTTGGTGTGCAGGCATACATGGAGGCAGAATGTTGTATATACAATAAATAAATAAATCTTAAAAAAAAAATAAGGCACTGAGGAGGCAAAGGCAGGCAGATCTCTGTGAGTTCAATGCCACCAGCCTGGTCTCCACAGTGAATGCCAGGATAGATAGACTCCAAAGCTACACAGAGAAACCCTGTCTCAAAAAATCAAAAAAAAAAAAAAAAAAAAAGCCAAGGCAATTTGCATCCAGGGTTATTATTGAAAGTTATTGTTTAAGATTTATTATTACTAATGACTTTGTTTGTTTCTAGTCATTGGGAGTTTGTTTCTAGCTCTCATGATAGTTGTCCTAGGTTTGTTGACTTGCCATGTTGGATATGACTGATCCTTTCCAGTTGTTTGTCCCTTCGTGCAATGTATGCTTTCTTCTCCCTTGAAGAACTTTCTGAAGTGTTGGCCTAGTTGTCATGAATTGCCTTCTTGTGTGCTTATCTTGAATACTCTTATTTCTCTATTTCTCTATCATCTTTACTGGATAACTATTCAGTTTTGGTTGACAGTTTCAGGGCTTGAGATATTACTCCACACTTTCTGACTTTGTGTGTTGCTGAGGAAAGATTAATGTCATTTTGATCTTTCTGCCTCTGATGTAAGTTGGTGTTTTCTTTTTACAGATATTAGCATCCTTCATTTAAATTTAGGAATATGCCATGGAGATATTCTTCTCTGGTCATATTTAGGAGATTTTTTATTATAATTTTAAAAAATATATTGTCTAAGCCTCTTTACATAAGTTGCTGTAACTCCTGCTATGCCATGGATACTTGGGTTAGGTCTCTTGAATGTATCTGAGATTTCTTACAAGTTTTGGTTATCGTCATTAGTTGTTGTTGTTTTTTTTCCTTATGTATGCCTGTGCATGTTATTGTTTCAACCTGTGCTCTCTATCTCTGAAATTTGGCCTTAATCCATGGTCTTGATCTGCTATGACTTTTCTTTGTTTGACTCTTTCATTTCCTCAAAATTACTGATTCTTTCATCCTTCTGTATCTTTCTTGTGTGCATCCTGATTGACTACTTAACCATTTATGGAAGTCCTCTATATGGTCGCTGACCCTTTTTGAAAAAAACATTCTGAACTCTCTAAGCATTTAGCTATCTCAGTCAGTATCTTCGTTCTGGTATTCAGAAGTTGAGTTTGTGGAAGTGTAGTATGATGCTGTTTTTTGTGTCTTTTGTTGTGCTTTGTGCATGTATTAGGTAAGTGGCCTCTAGTTTTCCTTCCCCCTTTCTCACTGTTTTGTTGATTTGTGTCATTTGACATGAGTCCCCCTGGTGCTTTGCTTCTGTGTGTGTTCAGGGACAGCCACCTGAAGGAATGGCTTGTCCACAGTCACAGTGTGAGCAGCAGGAAACACTTGTGTGTTGCACTGTCATCCCCGGTACACTAAGGTGCTTGTTGGAGAAACACACTGCTTAGTTGTTTTTTGTTTTGGGCCTAAGAGTATCCGTAAGTCAGGAAGTGAGACAGGAATGGGGGAAGAGCAAGAGGAGAGGAAGGAGGGAGTAAGAATGAGCAAGGTATATTTAGAGCGATGAGAAGCAGTAAAGATTGTGTATTAGGTTTAGAGAAAATATTCTGTTACTGACTGTGTTTGTACGTATCTGTGAATGTACTGGAAGCCTTTCTTTGTCTTCTGTTTCCTTTTGTATTTGTTTGTTTGATACAAGCTCCAACTGTGTAGCCTAAGCTGGCCTGAAACTTGCTAAGTAGCCTAGGCTGGCCCCTAACTCTACTGACCATCTTGCCTCAGGTTACCAAGTGTTGGGATTGCAGGAGAGTACCATTTAATGCTTCTCTGTTTACCACCTGAAATCCAGGAGCATCCTCTCCTTTATTAGGGCAAAGGTTTCAATTCAGTGAGAGTGTTGTAACTGAGGGAACATGCCAGACATCAGGGAAATTATTTACTAGAGTATGAGCTAGTTTTTAGCAGGTATACCTAAAATGATACCCCCATTCACAGCAAACATTAACTTTCAGCTGTCAGTCAGGATGGGGTGGGGCCTCAGGTGCTACTTGCCCATGATAAAATGTTGAGAAGCCCAATCTTGTGTAAAGTAAGACTTGTGTATGCAACCACAGCTGCTATGAATTCATGAGGCAGTGGCCTTGTCATGTTCTGGGACATCTTTTTACCATACAGTGTTCTTACCACACACAGCACCTTATTCTCTTGCTCTTGCATTTTTA